TCCCCAAGGGGGCAGGAACGCTTCGGCAGGGCGAGCCCGGCCCAGGCCCCGCAGCTGGCGACGGCGGCCTTCCTGCCCGGCCTCAGCGCCGCGACTGGCCAATGGCGGGCAGCAGCGGGAAGAGTCTGGCCAATAGCGAGACGGCAGCGGGAAGGGCCTGGCCAATGATGAAGCGGCAGCGGGAAGAGCCAGGGGGTGGGCGGGCGTTGGCGTCACCCCCTCAGGGCCTGCCCCGGGCAGCCGTGCCCGTCCCCGGCCCTTCCCAGGCTGAAGTGTTTCGGAGCTCTGCCAAAGCTTTGGCTGCCTGAATGCTCTGGTACCAACGAAAATGTGTACAAGGACAAGAATTCACTTTTTAAATTTCTTTTTTAATTGACAAGGAGGCTGAAGAAGCTCCGGCTGGCCAAGGAGAGATTCATCAGTCATGGCGCTTGGTGGGACTCCAGGGACTGATCCCTGGTTCCAGTGAAATCTTGAAGCTCCCCGAGACTTTCTGCTGTTGTTGTGTGTGACAAGGAGTTATTGTGACTAATTTCCTATTTATCGATAAGGTGTCTGTAACATCTTAGGTGTGGTCTAAGGGATTAAAAGCATCAGTTTCAACTCCAAGTAGCAATCAGTCTGGTTACTATGTGTATTTTGAAAATACAATGTTTTCCTCGGGTCAAACAAGACCTTTAAAGCTGGCGTTGGCGTTGCTGGCACAACGGTTTGCATCATTTGGAGAACGCAGTCACAACAGTTCTGTTTCTCCCACAGAGGTTTCTGACTTCAAGCCTTCACCTTTACCTGCCCTAGGGCTCAGGGAAAAAAAAATCACAACCGAATACAGGAATTATTTTCTCACCAAAGAACACGAAAACCAGGCACCCACCAGCTGCTGAATTGCTATTAAGTTGCAGGTACAACCACACCGATTTCATATGGGTTAATATGATGATTTTTTTTCTGATCAGCCGAGCCTTGTGGTCTGTGAACTGGAAGCTACGGTCGTAAAGCGCAGTAATTCACAAAAATCCCTTCTGAGCTGCAAGGTCTGACCCTTGCCACACGTTCTCTAGCTGTGAAGATTTCTACTTTGACATTTTCTGCATGTACTTGCAAACGCACGCTTCAAGATGTTCAGCAGACAGTTTTCCATGACACATTGAAAACTCATGGGTCTTTTCTTTCTCTCCGAGGAAATTTCTTTGTAAATACTCATTAGATGTACACTCTGGTGTCCTTGAAGCTCTCCAGGAATTACGGGTGAATCAGAATGCAATCCCAGCCAGACAGAGCCCTGTCAGGATAGAGGGCAGCAGATCGCACATGTCATTAAAATAGGGCAGGATACGCGTGGATGGAACTCGGCTGTCTGAGAACTGGATGAAATACAAAGGAAAAAAATGTTTAAAGTGCTGTTCTGCTTGCAAGGGAGAGCTCTGAAACGCTGATCGCAGAATACGGGGTAGATTTGACAGTGAGCAGCGTGTGCTGCAGCAGCGCTGCCCGTGCTGTCAGCACAGGGAAACACAAGGCCACTTTCCCTGAGGCCAGTTACATCTGACACAGCAGGGCTGATGCAGAAACCTTCTGACTCAGCCTCAGGTGGTGACATCTCTTAATTGCTTTGCAAACCTCCACCTCAATACCTGTTCCTTATCAGGTATTTCCTATTTGTAAGCTAGAAAAGTAAAATCATTGTGTCTGTTTTGCACCAATCTACCTTAGCATCCTACAGGGAGGGAGCTGGTTCATCAGTCTGTTGACTTGTTACCCTCTATATACACTGAGCATCTTATTAGTTTCGTGGCAGTAAGCCTTGAGGATGATCTACTGGTGATTTGGAAGTAGAAAAAAGGCTGAGATCTCAGCTGGCAAAGCTTGCTGGCACTGAGCATTCGTGAAAATTAATGCTGAAGATTTTCCAGATTATTTAATGAGATTGTGTGTTATGCTCCTCAGCTTCTGTGTGTGAAAAAGCAACTCAAACAAATCCCAAACCACTAATGGTAACTGTGAAATACGATGAATTTGGTTTGTCCTTGAAAACGTGTTTGTGGAAAAAAAAAAAGAAGCAGAGAATAAAAATGACAGTCTTATTCTTGCTACTTTGCTTCACCTGTGCCTGTCATATTATGGTCAAATTGCCTGCTTGATAGCTTTGTCACTCACAGAACAAACAAAAATTGCATTTCTTTTTTTTCAGTAGTTTCCATTTGCACTTAGCACATTTAAAGCAAAATGGGCTGTGCTCGCTAACTCTTTTTCCTAATGCTGTGTTTCCACCAGTGCTTCAAGGAAGTCAGGGCAGATACAGAAGGATCCTGGCCACATTTCACCTTCATTGCTTCTAGCAGGTCAGAGTGTAGAAATTTTCTGAGGCAAAATTTCCGTTTTAATGTTTGATAGTTGTCAGTAGGCCAAATTTGTCCAGTTCCCTTCTCAAAACTGCTACCATTTATTTATTTTGTCTAGCAAGGTCTACAACTTAGCAATTTATTACTTTAAAAAAAATTACTTTGTCTGGTCTGTTTCCCATTTGCCACCTGATAATTTCCTTGAGTGTTTCCTATGTCTGGTTTTACAAACAATAGCAAATAGCAATAGTCCCTGTTGACTCTCTGCACAACATCCATGGCTATAAGGATGTCTGCCACATCATCCTCCTGCATCTTTTATACAAGCTGAGATATTTTGTCACGCTGAACCACTCCTTTACAGCGTGTCTCAGTCCACACCACCAATCCCATGTCCTGGAAAGCCTCGAAGTACTTTTAATTGCCAGAAACTCCCTCAGGATCACACCGATGCCTTTGTAAAAATTGGCATCAAATTCCTTTCACACTGAGAACAATTTCATTAAATACATCCCATTCAGACCTGAACTACAATCGACTTTGCCTACAAAGTTATTTTAAACACTCCTGTAAGCAACAGAAGATTTGAAGACCTTTTTTACTGATCCATCTGTAAGACAATAACGATAAATATTTGTCTGTCAGCCACTTCTTCCAACTACTCCAAAATATGATTAGCAATAAACAGGTAGACAGAAATAAAAATCACAGACAGCATAGATCGCAGATATTTCAAATCAAGAGTGGATGCTTTCCTAAAAGGAGAAGAACACATGAAGCTGGAAAAGAGCAAATGGAGGAAAATTCTGCCTTCTGTTTTAGGCAGAGTTGGACCAAATTTCCATGATGGCTGATTTGGATTTGTGAATCTGGATATTCATCAGTCGTACTTCTTCCTGGCTGTGCTTTGTTTTGCAAGCAACTTTTATCCATTTACTGTAACAAGTTTAAATGTTCCATTTTAGGAGGAGGTGGTGGATAAATAGCAATCAGATTACACCAGCTTTTAAACTGTTCCAAATGCCTAATAGTAGGTTCCCATAAGGATGAAACATATTTTACCCTTCTCTCCAGCTTCATTTCTACCAAAGCCCTTCCCTCCTCCTGCTCGTAGTAAAAGTTCCCCATTTATTCTATTCTTTCATAAACAAGCCATTTAGAAAGAAATTGAAACACAGTACCCAGAGGTGAGACTCCTTAAATCAAAAAACTTTAAATCAAGACTTTTCTTAATCACAGAATCACAGAATCGCTCGGTTGGAAAAGCCCTCTGAGATCATCACGTCCAACCGTTCCTGTCTACCCCCTAAACCATATCCTTAAGTACCTCGTCTACCCGCTCTTTAAACACATCCAGGGATGGGGACTCCACCCCCTCCCTGGGCAGCCTGGTCCAGCTTCTGACGACCCTCTCAGTAAAGAACTTCCTCCTTAGCTCTAACCTGAACCTCCCTTGGCACAGCTTGGTGCCATTTCCCCTTGTTCTATCCCCCAGCACCTGGGAGAAGGGCCCAGCACCCCCCTCTCCACAAGCTCCCTTGAGGCAGTTGGAGGTGGTGATGAGGTCTCCCCTCAGCCTTCTCTTCTGCAGGCTAAACAAGCCCAGTTCCCTCAGCCGCTCCTCATCAGGCTTGTTCTCCAGAGCCCTCCCCATCCTTGTGGCTCTTCTCTGAACACGCTCCAGAATCTCAACATCCTTCTTCTAGTGAGGGGCCCAGAACTGAACACAGCCCTCGAGGTGCAGCCTCACCAGTGCCTAGTACAGGGGGATGATCACCTCCTTGGACTTCCTTGATTTCTTTCGATTTGCACGGATATAAAAAGAATGGATTTTGGCCAACTCTCTGGTTCTTTTCTAACATTTTCGTGCTAAAACAGTGAAAAGAATATTCTGGAAATGCTTTTAAGTGGTGTGTGTGTATATATGTGTGTATCTCTGTGTATATATATATATATATATACACACACATATATCTCATAGTAGCTGACGTAGTTGGCTGTACACCAGTGCACAGCCTGCATTGTCAGCCAAGTAACGGACACAGACACATCCCCTGTCAGGACTGGAGTAAAGCCCTGTGCCCCATGCACTCAGCCCCACCGTACTCTTTCTGTGCTCTGCAAGACAGATTTGAATATAAAAACATCTCCTTGAATAAACTTGCTTTTCCTAGAACAGCTCGGGGCCTTTTCCTTTCTGCTGTGCCCTTTACATAGCGTACATCAGCCTTACAGACAACATGTTTACGACTCAGATCAGAGGGCTACGTGCAGTTCAGGTGCTGTCTGTTTGCAAGCGCATGTCATTTTACTACGACTTGTTAGCAACAGAGTTCGTGTCCTCATCTTGATGAGTTGGTTTGTGCATCAGAAAACACCCGATAAGCCAGCGATGCGCAGGATTAAGGGCTGGCTCTTGAAGTATGCTGCTGTTCAG